GTCGCATCATCACTGTCCTAGCTTCACATCTACCAGCAGTATTGGCATTGCCCCACCTGTGGATGCTCAAAGGTAGTGGCTGAGCCACCACCAGGTTTGGGAATATAGTCCAATCACGTCAAATATTGTTACTTTTTTGGATTAAGTAATCGTGCGATATCACATTAAAATGATAACTGAAAGATAAAACTTTGTATTACGCGAGAAAACTGATAATCTTTCATGTGCATTAACACTCGATCTTCGTTTATAAAACCAATTACTTGGTGAACAAGGACTCAATCGATCTTTATGGTAAGCTTTTTACTTTTAACAAGGACTCAATCGCTTCTAACTAGGATTGCTCTTGCCTTGACTTCTGTCGGGATCATAAACAAGTTTTCAAGTAACTCCTATAGTAGGAAAACTGTCTTTGAGATTGTTGAGTATATTCTAGAAGTATTTTAGGTGCCAGCTCAGCATAGGTGGTTGTTAGCCTTAACAGCTTCAGTTATTCTGTTACTGTTGTTGTATAAATAGCATACAATGCTTTGTAAATACTAAATGAGAAATACAATTCAACTTCCAGCTATTCTGTTATTTTCTTTACTTTCACAACATGGTATCTTTCGCCATTGATCTTGGAGGCTTATTGTTTCCGTTGCTTCTCTTGTAGCTGCTGAAGAATCTTATTTCTTTGCTTCTTTACTGGTTTGCATTCTTCATGGCTGCTGAAGATGTTGTGCACAGCCTTGATGTTGGAGAATCCTCGAGAAATAGTCGATCGTTCACAAACAAGAAGATTAATATTATGCTTGATGAAATGAACTTTTGGTTGTGGAAACAACAAGTTATTTTAACAGTAAAGAGTCGCCGCTTGGAACGACTGCTCACTGGGGAACTTAAACCTCCTCCAGCACATATCTAATCTGGAGATGGTATCTTTGATGTCAATAAAGCGTACGAGGTCTTTGTGGCACAGGACAACACCTTAGCCTCGTGGCTGCTCTCTACAATCAGTGATCATATACTACCTTAGTTTGTTGGTACAGAAACAGCTGCGAATGTATGGTCTACTGTGCTCAAGTTCTTTACCAATCGATCTACAACAACTGTGATGAGCCTTCATTGCAAGCTAAGGTCGATTAAGAAAGGTGAGGAGAGTATACGATCATATCTCACTCAAATAAAAGAAGTTTGTGATTCATTAGCAGCGTGTGGCAGCACTGTTTCTAAGCTTGAACAAATAGCCACTATATTGAATGTCTTACCGTTTGAGTATCAACCGTTTATGGTAGTTATTACGGCCAGCAAAGAGGCGTTCTCTCTTGATGGGGTGAAGTCAGTGCTAGTTGATGCTGAGGTACAACTTAATAGCTTTCAACTTCAAAATCAAGTCTCGATGAGTGCAAACGTTGTTCACATGCAAAACAATAGTCAAGATCACGGTCGTTCCAATCAGTATAATTGGCCACATAGTTCGAGTGACAGATCTGGTGCTCGATCAGGAGCTCGTGGTCGTGGGCGCTCTAGGCTCCAATGTCAGTTATGTGGAAAAACTGGCCACTCAGTAGATAGGTGCTGGCATCGCTTTGACCAAAATTTTCCTGGAGTATTGTCTCACAAAGATGAATCTGTTTTATGAATATTAATTCATGTGAGGTGGCCAATGGCTGTCTCTCGTGCAACAACAACAATGTTCATGCGCAAGTTCATGTGGCCTCACCAACTTCAGATAGGTGGGTTGTAGATTCGGGAGCCACGCATCATGTAACTCCTGAGGGTTCCAAGGTGGCTGATGGCTCGGACTACACTGGCCCGGGTAAGTTGGTTGTCGGTAATGGTCATGTGTTAGATATTTGCAAAACTGGTACTGGCATACTCAATACTAAGGATCGAACTCTGTTCCTTCATAATTTGCTTCATGTTCCATATGTGACTAAAAATCTACTCTATGTCTCAAAGTTTTCTAGAGACAATGCTGTTATTTTAGTTTCACGCGAAGAGATGCTTGGTTAAAGATAAAGGGAATGGTGTTGTTCTACTGCAAGGACAATAGAATGGAGGACTATATCAGTTTGATGCCACAATAGGGGATCAGCAGAATAATGCGAATGGTAGTTTAGAAATAAATGTAATCAATAAAACTTCAGTTGGTATGATTGATGCTTATACCTTGTGGTACATGAGACTCGGGCATCCAGCTCATGCTTCACTTGTAAACACTGCAAAGTTATCCATGCTGCTGCTTGTGGGTGATAGTGCAGGGAAAGTATGCATGAAAGTGGGAGTGCCCTACGAAAATCAAGAAGAACCAGCTGTTGTGCACGTGGAACCTGCCATTATGTCTCAGCATAAGGAACAACAAATGTCAAGTTCCAGTTCTCTTTCCAGCCCCCTTACGAGCTCAATTAGAGGGAGTGTGGAGCACTCGGAGCACTCGAATGCAGTTCACTCGAATTCAGTTGAGGAAGATGCTGTAAATCAACAATCTGATGATGCTAGCTTGACTCAAAATGAGTCACAGGAAGTGATGCAGAATGGTTGTGATGAAGAGCAGTCAGTGGTTGCTCCTATTGCTGGTTATCCAATAATGACCAGGAGCAAGTGTGGAATATTCAAGCCAAAGCTTTACTCCATAGTTCATGCAGAAGTAGAAAAGGTGCCATGTCGATATATGAGGCTCTACAATCACCTCAGTGGAAGGCAACAATTAATGAAGAATATGAGGCATTAGAAAGAAATAATATGTGGTCCCTTTTCAGCTTACCTAAAGGACGTTCAGTAGTCGGTTGCAAGTGGATTTTTCGAATTAAAAGGAATGCGGATGGGTCTGTGCAAAGGTATAAGGCCAGGCTGATGGCCAAGGGGTTTACACAAATACCTGGACAAGATTTTCAAGAAACGTTCAGTCTAGTAGTTAAATCCTCTACCATTAATGTCATACTTGCATTAGCTGTTCAGAATAAGTGGGCGTTGAGACAAGTGGATGTGAACAACGCTTTTTAAATGGAGATCTTCAGGAGAATGTTTTTATGCAACAACCTCAGGGCTTTGAGAAAGAAGCACCTAATGGCTCTCGGTTAGTTTGCAAGTTACCAAAGGCGTTGTATGGCCTTAGACAAGCCCCACAAAATTGGTTTGCTAAGTTGAGAAATTATGTGATCATCATTGGTTTCAAAAGTACACAGGCAGACAACTTACTCTTTATCAAGCAAGAAGAAGGACGAGTGTTGTATGTGCTGGTTTATGTCGATGACATAATCATCACAGGCTGTTCGAACGATGAGATTGAGGAAGTAGTTGGTATACTAAGCAAGAAATTTTGCTTAAAAGATCTTGGTCAATTGAGTTTTTTTCTTGGCATCGAGGTTAAGTGTGTAGGAGATGCTATATTTCTTAGCCAACATAATTACATCATGGAGTTGTTAACCAAGGCACGAATGGACACGGCTTCCTCAATGTCAACACCCATGATTTCTTCTCTTAAGCTCTTCAAAGAATCAGGTGAGGAGTTGAATGATGCAAAAGAATATCGAAGTCTAGTAGGATCACTTTTGTATGCTTGTCATACAAGGCCATATATTGAGTTTAGTGTGAATAAGTTGGCTCAATTCATGCATGCACCACGAGAACAACACTTTGCTGCAGCAAAACGGGTTCTACGCTATCTTCGAGGGACTCTTGACTATGGACTGGTGTTTTCCCCGAGTGATGAACCATTTCAACTCACAGCGTTTGCAGATGCTGATTGGGGAGGCAATATAGATGATAGACGCTCAATATCTGGGTGTTACGTGTATCTAGAAGGAAACTTGGTTATGTGGAGCTCAAGAAAACAGAAGATTGTCTCTAGATCCACTACTGAAGTCGAGTATCGAAGTTTAGCAGATGTTACATCAGATGTAGTCTGCTTGGATACATTAATAACAGATATGGGAGCACGAGTGCAGGCTTCGCCAGTCATTTGGTGCGATAATTCGAGTGCAATTGCGATGAGTGAAAATCCTGTGTATCATTCAAAGACTAAGCACATTGAACTTGATGTGCATTTTTTTAGAGAAAAAGTTACAGCAGGCAAGTTGAGAGTTAATTTTGTGCCCACTGAACATCAGGTGGCTGATGGCTTGACTAAATCTCTAACAAAAGATCGATTTGCTAGTTTTCGACAAAAGCTGGGAGTGTTGTCATTTAAAGAACTGAAGCAGCTGGGAGAATGTTGAGTATGTCACTTGGAGAGTTGAAGTAGCAGGGAGGATGTTGAGTATATTCTAGAAGTATCTTAGGTGCCAGCTCAACATAGGTGGTTGTTAGGCTTAACAGCTTCAGTTATTCTGTTACTATTGTTGTATAAATAACATACAATGCTTTGTAAATAGTAAATGAGAAATACAATTCAACTTCCGGCTATTCTGTTATTTTCTTTGCTTTCACAACAGAGATGTATGAGCGACATCGCGCCATTCAACCTTAATAAAAATTGAAGGCAATACCAAAAGATGAGGCATAGCTTAAGTTAACCAACTTTAAAACTATCGGGGACTTAAAATGTAATTGCATCAAAAATTAGGGGGCAAGGCTCCTCCAGCTGCCTTAGTCATTTACCACTACACCATAACATTGATTAGACACAAGAAAGTGTATATTCGATATTGATTTGTATGTATCTACAACATATACAAGATGCTTAATTATAGATGGATAAGGAAAAACAGAAACTCCCAACTTTGCGGTGGCCAAAAGGCTAGAGATTCATGATCATTATCCATCCAGTTGTTAGCTGATTTGTTAATGAATAAACGCCTCGTAAATGCTGATATGCATAAAAAAGGTGGAGGATAATCCGTAGATCCCATCTATACCGCTGCAACTTATTGCCGCCTCCGATCAATCTCATCAACGCCCGCAAACTGATGAACTCCATCACCAATAACCAATGCTAGAAGCAAAGGTAATTATCTGGAGATGTGAACTTATTCAAAGCAATCTCAGCTTCCATTGCCACTGTTTGGTGCTTGTTGTTAAGTAACAGGAACAAGAGAGAAAATTATTTGAGTCTCGCCTGACTGGAAAATTCTTGCCAATGAACTGATTGATCTGATGGCTGGAATCTGCACTATATGGTTGTTTGACTCTTTGGTTACCCTCAAGAGCTGATCAACAGCAGCCTTCGTAGAAAGGGCATTGGTTTTGAATACGGTGCATAGAAAATTGATATCGGATTCGGCAAAGGCTGTTATCTCCATTATAATCATTAAGCAATAGTACCTTAATCTACCCCATTCAGTCCCCACTAACTTAGGCAAGCCGACCGTTGTTTTTGTCTTTCTTGTCGTTCTACAATTTGTTTTGCTTCTAGCAGCAACCATCCACAAAGCCTCGACATAGCGACGTTCGAGTTTAGGCTTTGGCAGGTTTACTTCAGATTCATCGATCACTGTCTTGGATGATAGTATTGTTACCAGTGGAAAAATCACATTCCCGTCGACGGAATCATATTTGGTTGCGTCGTATACCTCGGCCATTTCAGTCACTAACTCCACTGCTTGAATTTGAACCTCAATCGGAGCATTCTTCAGTAAATGAACGATATGGGTCATGATTTTCTCCAAAATCACGGGCTCATTAGTCAATGACAATGTACAAAGGGCATCGGCAGCTGCTATTTGCGCGTAGGAGCAAGCTCCATCTCCCAAAAGCTTTAATAAAGGAGGTACACCCTTTTATAGCAGGATGTATTTCTTGTACAACTCATTGTTTTCGGCAAGCGAAACGAGGCTTTCAATGGCGATCCGATCACTTACCCGACTCTCCATTTGGACGGCGGGGATGCAATGCCAGATCACTAGAAACATCGGATTACAGGCGGTGAATGGAGGGAGGGAGGCAATAATTCTCTCGTCATACAATGTAAGAAGCCACTTAAAGTTGGCGATACAATCGTCTAAACTGCGGAAGAGAGGTTGCAAATCGTTACTTTTAGCGGTCTGGAAGAACCTACAGATCATGCTCTTGAGGTTGAAGTCCAGGGCGTGGTTCGGGATCCGATGAACCTCGTCGAGTATGAGTTCACTTTAAACGGGCGCAAGTAGAGCGGTTTCTTGGCGGCATAGATGAAGAGAGGCAGCGTCTTCGGTAGAAAAGACATGTGATCAATTCACTTCTTGAGGGTGTTGTAATGCTCAACTTGTAACAGTCTTTTAATGATTTTTAATTATATGTTTAATAGAATTAAATTGTGATTTGGAAGTGACTATTTTGCCTTCATTATTTAGCTTATAAATAGAGGGTAATTTCATTCACTTTGAGATATTCTAAGCAAACATTTGTTTTGAAACACTCCTTTCTTTTGAGTGTTATTTGAGTTGAGAGAAGAGCAATACCACCAAGTTCACTCCAGTTTTCGGGTGTACAGAATTCTTGGAGAGCCGTGTTAACCTCAGGGGGATGTTCGTCCATTGTAGCGATTACACACATCGGGGCGAATTTGCTTCTAAGGCAGCGGATTACCACGACACGGTTATTATTCTGATTGATTATTTTATTTAATATTTTCCAGTCAGTGCTAACGTCTCGTTTTGCAACAGTCTATTTTACCAACAATTTAGAAGCAAATTCTTTACTGCTGCTAAATACTCCAACAATAAGATCCGTTGGACATAGATTACCAAAAAATGTCGAAAGTAAGGAAATTGAGCCTATGGATTCCGGTTAGTCACTTCATTTTTGTTTCCTCAGTAATCTTGCTATCAAAAGGAATTTGATAGCGTCATGATAAAAAAAATATGGTGGTTGCTAATGTTTAGAAATTTGTTATGCCTTAATTTCATGATTAATTTATAATTATTAATAGCAGCAGCCAACATTCATGATAGAGGTTACTTCCATGCGTTAAAGGTTGGTAACATCTTGATATTACTTATAATTAAGTTTGAATTGAAACGTATTTTATCCAATTAATTGGGTTGAGGTTATATACTTATTCAAACAACAATGCACCTTAAATTGGATAAGTGATGCTGCTACATTATTAAACCGATAAAGTATGAATTAAAGCTGAAAATGCATTTCATGGGGCAATTAGCGTGTTTATGCAGTTTTTAATGAATTGGAAAACTACTGTTAGTGACCAATATATATATATATATATATATATATATATTTCTTTTATTAATGGTCATTTCTCTTAAAGCATATCGGTTAAAATGCTTTAAAACGTACTATACTTTAAACGTATTATTAAAGATGATTTTTCTTAAAACTATGAGGTTTTGATTCTTTTGATGCTTTATGAGTTTAAATTATAGGAACAATGAATGATAATTTAAACTGGAGTTTAATGGTTTATAATATTAATTAGAATAATACCTTGTGGTTATGGTATTAATGTTCAACGGATTCTTGTGATTCAAATGGTTTCAATGGTGATATGAAACATTTCAAATTGAATGTATTATTAAATAGATATATAAATATTTGTTAATAGCTATGTAAATGTTGATGTATTCAATTTTGAAATTTTCATGCTACAGTTAAGAGGTGGCATGATTATAATGTTATGAACATTGACATTTTGATATGAGAGATAATGCATGTATGATATTTGTTTCATGTGGAAATATAAAATAACTTATTCGAAAACTAAGGTGAAAATAATTATAAATATTTTTTACCGTACTAATAATTTTTTTTGAGAAATTTGTAAAGATACAGGAAATATGTAATTTTTGGAGAAATATGGAGCTGGTAAAGCTGAAATGAGAAGATTCTCCAAAATCGAATAGTTGTTAAATTCGATTTGATTTCCACAATCTCTTGAAGATAAGAAACCAAAATCCTAAAGATATGGATCTTATTACTATCAATAAATTATTTTATTTTATTATTGCTAGTAAAATTTTTGTGACTAACCATATGTAATCTTCATTTGAATTCAGAAGATTCAAAAGAGATGATGGTTCAGATGAAGTGATTGCCATGATAGATTTTGGGTCCTAATGCAAAGGCTGAAGTAGCATGCCTGGTGAGGATGAACAAGTCTGTTTGGAAATTATGATTGCTGAGGTCAGACTATGTTACTTATTAATTTATGCTTATAATGATGCATGAATTAGTATAGATGTGCCTTTAAAATAGTCTTTAAAACTTAGTGGATACTATGAAATGAGATAAAACCACTATTAAAGACTAAGGTAGTACTACTAAGGCTAAGGCAATAGTTTGAGCCCAAAATATATATGCTTAATAAGATACTATTGTGATTAAAAGTATCAAACACGATTCTTTAAGAAGCCTTAATAAAGAGAAAATCTACAAATAATTTATTGGAAAGTAGTGTGATGAGTATGAAAGTGCATGTCTAGGATTGGTTCTATGAAGACTTGGTACTTAAGCGTGCCTAGTGCACCACCTCTCTTTCATAGAAACCTACCTGGTGCATTGTTCATTACTATGCTCACTATTCGAATACTATGACAAGATAAAAACTCTTAAAACTTAGTGTAGAAGTTAAAAGAGTGGAGATTAATTTGGTTGAGTGGAATACCAAATTTAGTCATAGTAAATAAAATATATGATGATCTCTTTAAGGCTAATATGTTGAATATCATGAATGAGAATATGATAGAATCTATTGCTACTAAAAGTATGTTGTAGCTATTAAATCTCTTTAAGTGATTTTCCTAAGTAAAGGAAAGAAAAGAGATTATATATTTCAGAATTTGTGCTAAAATCTCTTGTTTTAAACTTGAGATCATTTTTCCTAATGTTAGGAAAAATTCGAAATTCATTTTGAATGAGGAAAAGTCATAAAGAATTTTATATTGGTTTATGTATTTTAATCTTAATGATTTGTAACTTCTCAAAACTTTGAGAATATAATTATGTGTAAACAAAACTTGAGTTTGTTAAAATATATTTTTATGGCTAAAACTCATAACAAACTTTACTCTAGTATGATTGAGTATTTGTTTACACATTGTTCAAGACACTTATGGATATACTAAAATATTAGAAATGTGGGGGTGTCTTAAAATGTAGATTAAATACATAAACTCAAATAGAAAATATTCTATCCACTTCTTCTAGTATTCCTGCTAGGTCTTCTCAAGAAATTGATTTCGAGCCTAGAAGAAGTAAAAGGCTATTTGGACCAAATTTTATCACTTCCTTTATTTCTAAGATAAATGATTTAGACTTTTTTTCTTATCATATAACTTAAATATTATATGATGATCCTAAAAAAGCTATAAGATCTATCGATGCTAGTTTCTAGAAAAGCGCTATTAATGATGAACTAGAATCGATAATGTCTAATCATACTTGGGATTAGTTGACTTGCCTAGAGGATTTAAACCAATATGTAGCAAATGAATCTTCCGGAAGAAAATGAGACCAGATTGTTTGATCCAGTGGTACAAGGCAAGGCTAGTTGTCAAAGGGTTCACTCAAAAGTTTGTTTTAGACTACTTTGATTCTTACTCTCCCGTTATGAACATCTCAACGATCTGTGCATTATTTGCACTAGCCTCTATTCATAAGTTGCAAGTATATTAAATGGATGTTAAGACTACATTTTTGAATGGAGATCTAGATGAGGAGATCTATATGGGAATAATGGTACAAGAAATTTCATAAAACTATACTTAGTTTTGGTTTTGTTGTGAATGGTTCGGATAGTTGTGTGTATTCGAGGATGTTTGGTACTGATTTCGTCATCATAAGTTTTGTAGGTACTGATTACGTCATCATAAGTTTTGTATGTTGATGACATGTTGATTTTCAGTTCTAACATTGAGTCCATTAACAAAACAAACAATTTCCTATCCACTAAATTTGAGATAACGGATATGAGAGAAGTTGATGTAATCTTAGGAGTCAAAATTACTGGAAAGGGATTTTCTTTATATCAAGCACACTATCTTGAGAAAGTGTTAAAGAAATTTGACAGTTTTGATGTCATCCCTGTTCGAATCCTTGTGACACTAGCATATATCTCTTTAAGAATAAAAGAAGTAGCGTTTCCCAAACAGAATATGCTAAATTAATTGGAATCTTAATGTTCTTAATGAACTATACTCGGCCTGATATTGCTTATGTTGTGAGTAGACTAAGTAGATATACTCATAATCTGAGTAGTGAACATTGGATTGCTCTTAGACGCTTACTAAAGTATCTTAAGGGTACTTTGTATTGGAAACTTGAGTTTGTTGGCTATCCTGCGGTACTGGAAGGATATTGTGATGCCAATTGGGTTTCTGATAATGATGAGTTAAGCTCTACGAGTGGGTATGTTTTTACTTTAGGTGGAGAACAATCTCGTGGAAATTATCAAAGTAGACTTGTATTGCTCGTTCTACCATGGAGTCAGAGTTTATAGCTCCTGACCTAGCTAGTCAAGAAGTCGAGTGGCTCAGAAGCTTGTTAGCAGATATTTCGTTGTGGGGAAGATCGACTCCTCTGATTTCTTTGTTGTGTGATTCGTAAGCTGTGATATGTGTACAATGGTAAGAAAAGACACATTCGTATAAGGCATGAATCAGTTAGACAATTAATAAAGAATGGAGTGCTCTCTTTAGAGTATGTGAAGTCGGAAAAGAACCTAGCAGATCCTTGGTTCTAGATTTGTCGAGGGGGATGGGTCTAAAGCCCATTGGTTGAGGAATTCATGGTGGATACCCAACTTAGTTATCTAAGTTCCATGTGGTCATCCGAAACCATGGAAAGACTCATAGTGCACATTCCTACTGCCTATCCCTATGATGAATAATGTGCATGCCCAGGATGAGCTTAATTGCTCTTAATAAATTCATAGCCCAGGCTTTGGGTGGTCTTAGTGAGAAAGACTTGATGAATTTACCGATTTTGGCTGAATATCTATTCTTAATAAGTTCATAACCCAGATTTGAGTGGGTAGTTCTAATCGCGAAGGACTGGATGAACTTACTGCTTGAGAGGATGAGTTTTATTAAACTCTTAATGAATTCAAACCCAAGAGTTTGGGAGTTCC